AGCACACAAAGACCACCGCTGTGTTCAGGGAGGCTTATTAATGATATATATATATATATATATATATATATATATATATATAGTATTGTGTTTGATAGATTGTAACGACCATTTTCCTAACAAATACTATGTTGTTGGGACCCCATGAGAAAAAGTTATGTTTTTGATCTAAGGGTTAAGTTTAGAACTAAGGTGTGTATTAAGTTTACTTTAGGTTAGTGTTATCCATGTACTGGTAATAGTTAGGTTTAGGGGCACTCTGTAGAAATAGATGAAAAATGAATGGAAGTCCATGCAAAGTCCCTGTTGTTCGTGTGCGCGCATGCGCGCGTGTGTGTACATCTCACCTCGACTGTAAGTGTTCCAGTTGAACCTGCAGATTCTCGGTCTGCTCTACCTGCTCATCCAGAGACCTCTGCAGCTTCCTTGTCTGGTTATGAGATTCATCCAGCTGGATACACACACACACATGCATACAGTGAGCTGTGATGGTTTTCAGTATATTCATCACATAAAAGAAAATGTTGCGACATGCCTACTTTTATAAGCAATAAATCAATTAATCGCATGATAAATTAAAACAAGCTCAATAATATCCATAATTTGCTTTGGTCTCATCTAGCCGTTTTTTGAAGGACAGTTTTGTTTACAGAGACTTCATAATTTTTTTATTTGTTGTTTCTGTTGTTTTATTTTGGATATTTAAAATGTCTTCCTGTTCCAGAGTTAAGTGTTCTCTACAATTTACAGTTTATTGACCTCTGAGAATGTGTTCTTGCATTATTATGTCATTACCATTATGACATAATAATGTCATAACTGACATTGAAAATGAAACTATTTTCAAGTAAAATGAATTTATTGCAATGAGAATTCACTGTTCAGTAAAACTTGTTATTGTGATTGATTTACTCCTTATTGCAACAGGCCTACATCCAGATGAGCCTGACTGAGACCTGCTGGGTGGCAGCCAGAGGTGCGGATACTAAACATTGACTGGAAGGGGTGAATATTTATGTCATTTACATAAGTATTTCATGTTACATATTGCTTTAGTTGTCATTGCTTTGTGGAAATTAGTTATCACTTTGATATTAAACATTTTGTAATTTTTTTTGTCAAAAAAAAAAAAAGCCAGTATGTTATTATGTTGATCAATTATGATCAACATAATAAAAAATAATAAACACAATAACAGGGTAAAACATCCAAGGGGGTGAATATTTTTATAGACAATCTGCCAGATTGAGATGCATCACACTCTAACATACCAAGCTACTTGTGCTGCTGTTGAATCAGTTTTGAAAAAGCTATTTAAAGCAACATATCTACTCATTTCTACTCTTCTACTCATTTAATACACAAAGTCTAGGAAATATTATGAATATTTGACACCTAGGCCCTAAGAGATTAACACATATGTGTTCGTACCTCGTCTTCAGCCTGGCCTAGTTCTTTCTTCAGCTCCTCCACCCTCAGACGGAGCTTCTTGACCTCGGCGTCATGGCTCTCCACCCTACGGTTGGCATGGGCCAGCTCCGCAGTGCGCTCCTGGAACTGCTTCTTGAGCTTTCCATGAACATGACGAAGATCAGCCAACTCCTGCAAACGCAGCACACAGCAATGAGATCATGACACTTCTGATTATCTGCTCAACCGTCTGAGGCCTGAAGAACACACACAACTTCTTTAATAGGTTCAAGGTTAAGTTACAGAAAAAATAGGAGATTGAACTTGACCAATTCCATTGTCTCTATTGTAATTACATAATTAAATACCAGGTTTTAGCATTTATTTTAAGCTAAATGTAGTACTTTTTTTTTAGCTCTTTTTAGGGGTTAAATGTGAAAATTAGCATTATGACACACAAAACTATTCTAAAATCTAACCCCCCCACACCCCCCCCGCAAAAAAAACCCAAGAGTTACACCTTAATTTCTATATTTGCATATGAAAAGAAGCAGAACCCATTTAATCCCAGCCAGTTTGTAACAATAATGTTCAACTTTTGTGGACATTAATAGCAATAATTAAGTGGAATAAAACTGTAAAAAAAAATCTAAATATAAGGCAAAATTATTAAAATGCCATTTTAATAATTTTCATTGTTCTGTCCTTTCAAGCCCACATGGTTATATTGAAACATCCATCAGAAATAAATGCAGCAGAATAATAAAACCACATCCAGGAAATCACCAGAAGGCGTGTGTGTAGATGGTTCTTCTGTTTCTGTTGAAACAAGAAGGACTTCTCATTTTCAGCTCGCCTGCAGTTGACCTCTGCTCGTGAGAATGAAAGTCAAACTTTTTCTTTCAGTGTGTTTACAGCACAGATATACAGTTGGAGCTTTCTCCTTGGCATTTCTCTGCAGGGCAACAAACATCATCTAGCCTCTGCTGCCAACAGACACATTAATGGGTCTCAGCGGAACTTGTGGATTGCATACATTTGGTCTTTCAGGATGGAACTGGGAAGTTGTGGTCATGGTCGGGTTGAAGCCACACCCAACTATAGATCTGCACTGGTATTGACAATGGAAAATCTGTGTTTGAAGATAATGGACTCATTAATTATGCAGTATTTTCAACTGGACTTTCATGCTTGATGCTGTTGATTTATTTTGGCACTTCACTGCTTCGCACCTAATGGCTCCCCCTACAGAGCTTCCAAGAAGCTTCTGTCAACTTGCTCTGCAGTATAAAGGCAAAAGGCCCTGGATCAGTGGGAACTAGAAAACAGATGAGAGCTGCAGGGTCAGTCACACTAATTGGCACGACCAGTGAAAAGGCAGGAAACTCCCTGATATTAATCTGAATTTTATTGCACAAGAATAATCTCATGATGAAAATTCCAGAAACATAACGCATGCATGGTGCAGCTGCTGAGCTGAGGATTGTACGCACAACAGCTCACTAAACACCCTGTAGTTTAATGCAATGATGAAGAAGAGCAACGAGTTCCTCCATATTTTTGCTACAGAACTGTTCCTTACAGAGATGTGCTCTTGGTTGCACCAGCTCCAGTCACATAGCCAGTTCTCCACCTTTCCTTGTTCTCTTCCACTCTCAGGTCCACCCTCATAAGTTTAAATCGATCTGAATAAACCACCGAATGTGCTGTCAACTCAGTGCATCATTCAGCCACACTGGGAACTCCCACTGTAGGTGGATCAGATCTGTAGGTTCAAATCATCATCTTTATTTGCCCTCCAAGATGATGGAGGGCAACTAGTCTTGTATTACTCTTGTAATAATGTTGTTTATGTCCTTAATCCAAGTCAACTCACCAATGTACCAGATGCACATTCAAACACAAAGAAAGGTTTGACATTAAGATGAAAGATCTTGTTTATCCAAAACAGTCTGTGTGGTCAAGGAATGATGAGCAGAACTGAGGGAAGGTAAGAAAATCCACCAATATGATAAGACCCTTATAACAATAATAGTAATAACATCCCTACAATAACATAAAATCAAACAGCCACAGATCCTGAAAGTTACTTTTTACCTGAAATGTTGCTAAATATGGCAAGAAAGTGGCTAAGTTGGCAACAGTGGGTGACTATTCTTAACTGCAAACATGCAGACATGACCTGTTGGTGCCAGTCAGTCAGTCAAACCTCTCTTACAGCAGAGCAGAAGAGGACAGCGGTTGACTTTTAAACCTTTGTTGAGGTAGATAAGATGGGCTTCACATGTAGGTGTCAGTCGAACATTTAAGTTGTTTTTCATACAAGGAAATGCATGACGTTTCAGTGGCGGGAGTTGGATGACATTGAAATCCAGCAGTTAAGGCTTTGTAAGCGTATTCATGTCTGCCCCTCCAGCAGGGAGACATGACAGCTTGTTTTCTAAACCAGGAAATTTAGCCGCTGCTGCAAAACAATCTGAACTGAAAGATCCACAACGTAGTTTTTTGGACACATTTGCACAAATGTGAATAACTGCAGATGCCATAATAACTCAACTACTACGTATGATCACAGTTTGGAATGGCAATGCTTGTTTCAACAAAGAGCTGGGCAGCACACACCCTGTCTTCCATTTCTTAGATATAGGCTATGCTAAAGTAGTGTCACTGGCTCCTCCAGTGGGTCAGAGAAGGAAGCGCAACAAATCAAATTCAGTTACCTATCCATGTCATTTTAACCTTAAGTCAGTGAATGTATGACAACCTGGACCTGTAATGCCTCTGAACCACCACCGGAGGGAGTGGCAAAGCTGAACCACTTGTTTGTCATGGGCGTTGTCTGACCATTGCCTTCTAGCATATACCAAGCAAAGCAGCAAAAACTAATCGTAAATTTACTAATTTACTTTTAATTTACGTTTTTTACTTTACAACTGTAAATTCTGTGGAAACAATTTTTGATTGCTTACAGGTTTGTGGTACCCACTTTGTTTCTCTCAAACAACTCGCTCTGGATGGCCTTTAAGTCTGTGTCAAGTGCCGAGGCGGCCTGCCGACGTTTCTTGGCCAGCTGCTCCTCCAGGTCTTCCACCTGAGCCCGCAGCTTTTTGTTGTCCCTCTCCAGGGCCAGTTTCTCCGTCTCCAAGCGCTCTCTGCGGCCCCACTCTGCAGCGTTTTCCACCTGCAGTCTCTCCATCTGATGAAGACATACAGTCAGTATTAGATACGTCCTGATACCACACATCCAGCGTTGCACAGATACACAGAACATGGCAGATGCTCAGCTGAAAAACACAGAACAAAGGACAGAAATGCAAGGGACTAAAGCTGAAGCTGGATGTGGAAGTCATTAGACACTGGCTTGAGTGAAACTAATGACACCTAAGCAGTCAGCCTAACTGGCTTCCATCTGGTCTTTGGTGAATTATTCTCAAACTAACAACAAACAAACAAAATTGGCTCAGTATGGCTATGCCTGTCACAATAACAATAAATTAATTAATCGCACGGTAAAATAAAATGAGCTCGATAAGAAAATGAGGGTGATAATATTGCTTGTCGGTTTTCATCGTATCTCTCTCCCTACAAAAGAGACTGAATGTCAAAAAGTATCATTCACGTGCCTCGAGTGACTGACAGTCCATTTTCATTGAAGTGTTTAAATACAAAAGGCCAATGCAAAATAATGCGTACTAAGAGTTGCAAACATTCGTGTATTACATTACACAGTAGAATGTTATTACCCAGCAAAATTTGTTATCATGACAGGTCTAAGTACGACTCATTGGATTGGTTGTCAGTTGTTATAACAACCACATCATTTTCAACTGAAAGACCAGCTGATGAGCTGATTGTCAACAGCACGGCCTGGAAGCAAAACGCTGCCAGGAAGTTTTTGCTGCTTCTAGAACTTGATGATTTTTTTGGTGTGCAAGAGCCTACATATAAGACCAAAAATATGTCATAGCTATGGCAGATATAGATTTAAAGTAATCCTTCAGTTTTGCCGACATCTTTCCTTTGACTGCAAGTGCTGTTAACGTTTTGGAGCAGCAGTTAGTGGAAAGGTTTGATTGCTATAAATATTTTTCTATCATTGAGGATGGTGTAAAGCCTTGTAAAAACTGTTTTTACTAAACTGACGATAAAAATAATTATTTTGTTTTTCAAAATGTGTATTTCTTATGCATTGCTTTATTATGTCTTAGTGATAAAATTTATCTGTCTCCCTTCCTATGAAAAGAAAGTTAACTAATACAATAATCTAGTGATAGCTTGGTGGTCATTGTGTATTTTCCATCATGATGAAACACCTGTCACCATTTGATATCAATAAAGTGGAATCCATGGGCTCATGGTCAAGAAATTCCTTAACACACACACACACACACACACACACACACACACACACACACACACACACACACACACACACACACACACACCTGTCCTTACAGTCCTGTTATCTTACCTCAGCTCGAAGCTCAGCCAGTTTCTTATCCATATTGGTCCGAGCTCCCAGTTCATCTTCCAAGTCTTCAGAGATGCGGCCTAGTTCATCCTGATGTATTTCCTTCAGCAGATTCAGCTAAATGGTGTCAAAAGAAAACAGAAGCTATTAAACAAAGCAGAATCATTTCCAATACTAAATGTGTCCTTGTAAAACCGGTTCCAAGGTTTTCACTTGACTTCTTACTAATCCCTTGGTTGGTGTGTGTTACCTCTAGTTCTGCTTCTGTGGTCTACTCTTGCTTGCTAAGCACAGTAGACACACAGGAGAGGATAACCATCACATTATCCTCTCCAAGTCACACCTTTCTTCTCTCCTGCTCAGGTCTGAGAGAAGCCATCTTGAAGAACTGATTAGTGCAACAGTGTCTTCACCGAACCGCTTAATAAAATTAATCATCCAGCTGCAGTTGACCCAGAATGCAGCAGCTGATGTTCTCACTAAAAGCAGGAAGATAGAGCACATTACCCAGTTCTACAGTCCTTCCTCTGGCTCCCTGTATCTCATAGACTTTAGAATACAGTTGGATTATAAATCGTTGTACAGCTTGGCACCACAGTACATTAAGAACCAGAAGACCTAAGTGGTCTTCTGGTTCTGGTCTGCTCTGCATCACCAGAACCTGAATCAAACATGGAAAAGCAGCATTCAGTTTCTATGCACCACAAATCTGGAACAAACTTTCAGAAAATTGTAAAACAGCTGGAATACTGAGTTCTTTTAAATCAAGATTAAAACCAACCTGTTCAGAATTGCTTTTGAACAATAATAAATGAAACACTGACAAACATTTTGATGTGTAGTGATGGCATTTGGCAAAATAGTGTTTCAATTGTTGATTTTTGTGTTTTTATGATGTAAAGCACTGTGGACTGCTGAAATGTGCTATACAAAGGAATTTGATTGATTGGTTGATTAATCTTTGAAACTGCTACTTGAATCTTATCTACTTACTTTTTACTTTTTATCTATTTACGTTTACAGGGCCGGCCCAAGCCTACATGGGACTCTAAGCAAAATTTTTCTTTTGGAGCCATCAAGTTCTGCTAACAATGTGGACTGGCTGTAATCAGCAGTCCGATCATTAGATCATTCACACACCTGCTATAAACTTATTGCATCTCTGGCGGTACTGTTTACATTATTTACATGTATAATATAGGACACATTTATTGGCCAACTGATTTGACCAGTTGATTTCTGGGTGCCAATTTCCTTAATTTTGGGGGATCGTGATTAGCCGATACTTGCATCTGAAGCCCATCTCATCAGACCACCAGGTCAGGTCTACACATTTGCAGTTAACAATATTCATCCCACTGTTGCCAATTCAGTGGCTTTTTTGTTTTATTTTGGGGCATTTCAAAAAAAAAAAAAAAAAAATAAAAATAAAAATCATATCAGCCAAAATCAAAATCAGCAGGTCAGGCTTTTTAAAGATCGGTAACCAGGGATCAGCCAGAAAACTGCAATCGGTGCAGCCCTACACACATATTCATGACATTCTTTGATTAAATGAATTTCTCTTAAGCATAACTCCAATAGCTAAAAAATTTATTTTTACCAGGTGAGTCTTTTTCCCCTGAGAATGTGGACTGGTACCAGTACCGGGTTGATTCTGAGCCTTCAAATGATTTTAACAGAAGTTTCACATAACTTAGAAGTTGATGTAAAAATAATGTTTATTTTAGCCACAAATTGATTATGCTCAGCAGCAAACAACATATCCCCAACTACAGCATAGAGCAGCTCATTGATGCAGCAGCTATGTAGCCTGACGTAAAAACATTTTGCTAGACAATGTCAAATATTGAGAAGTTTTAATTATTGTTATCAAACACGGTGTTTTGAAGCCAAAAATACCTCAGAAATATACAGAGCCAAGTAGGAGAATCAACCCATTTAAAGATAAAACTCAGTTTCACACAAACACAAAGACCCTAGTATAAATGTTTGGCTGTTGAACTGCACCGTTCCAGGTCGCTATCAAGCTAATTTTCTATTGGCAGCTTTACAAACCTTTTGCATTACATTACCAAGGCACATTAAAACAAACCTTTATCTTGGCTTTTTTCTATTCTTCCTCTTTCTTTTCTCCTTCCCAAAACAATGTTTTTGTTTTTGAGACATTGTTTTGCTTAGTTAACTTCTGACCGGAGCTTTGGACGTTTGGATGCTCTGCACGTTGCACGGCAGCTCATATTACCGGCGAAGTGTGCGGTACCTACCATGGCTACCAGGGGGCTCCCAAGAGCAATTTTTTTTTTAATCAAAATAATTTCTACATACATAATCAAATATATATTGTAAAAACAAATCACTTCATCGTGAAATTGTGTGTCTTTGATATTATAATGACATAGAAATTATTATTTAAAAAAAATCCAAAAAAAAATCAGCTCCACTGAGGAGGCCCCTTAGTGGCCCTAAGCGGCTGCTTAGTTTGCTTATGCCTTGGGCTGGCCCTGCCTGTTTATTTGTAGATGATAAATGTTTATTTGACCTCCTTTTTTCTATGTCTACAGTGCCTCCTAGCGGATTTTTCAGTTATATTTCCTTTCTGCTCCAACTCCCTGCCAGAGCCCTTGTTGCCAGATGTTTGCAGCTGGATCTGTCCAGGCCGAGTTAAGGCTCCACACAATAAATGTCTTTAGCCAATCAAAGAACAGGTTGTCAAAAAACACTGAAAATCCAGATGGGACATCACAGTACCACTAAACTGAATCTTTGCTAACAAGATGCTAACTATTTCAGCAAAGTTCTGTTTTAATTATTCAAGCTGTTCTTGTTTTAAGAAGTAGGGACTACATATCAAGTCTAAACAGTTTCATCTACGCCAAAAAGCCCAGTTAGCCAACTGATTGCACAGCAGGTGAATTAAATCTTTCCTTTTTATGTTTGGTTGCCTCCAACCATCATCAGTTTGAATAATAAAGACTTCACACAGGACAGTCCTGCTGAGATGATGGATTAGAAGCTCCAGATGCCCAACAGCAGCAAGACCTTCTCCCTCACTTCTTCACTTTGTCATTTTCAAATTCAAAAATACTTTATTGATCTCAAAAGGACATTACATTTGGTTGTAACTCATATTAATTAAAATTCTTCAAAGAGTTATTAGACAGTGATGGCTGTCAGCAGGAAAGATCTCCTGTAGCGGTCTGTATTAGAGGGAATCTGAAGAAACCTCTGACTGAAGACACTCTGCTTTCCCAAGACAGTTTCATGAAGAAGATGGTCAGGGTTGTCCATAATTTTTTTTAAAGTAAAATCCTTCATCATGTCCAGAGGTTCCACTCTCCGGAGTAGAACCCAAACAGAACCAGCCTTCTTTATCAGACTTTTGAGGCTTTTTAGGTCCCTGGTTCTGATGCTGCTGCCTTGAAAGATCTTAGTTTCCTCAAGAAGTCCAGACTGCTCTGTCCCTACTTGTAGATGCTTCACTGTTGCATCTCCAGTCCAGTTTGTTGTCCAGATAAACACCAGAGCAGAGCAGACCAGAACCAGAATGCCTGAGAGGTCTGGAAAGTTGATACAAAACAGCACATCTTTAATATATTGTGGTGCTAAGTTGTTCAGTGATTTATAAACTATCCATCTTAAACGCTTATCCCTAGTGGGGTTGCGAGGGTTGCTGGTGCCTATCTCCAGCAGTCAATGGACAAGAGGGTAGGTACACCCTGGACAGGTCGCCAGTCCATCATGGGATTTATAAACTAACAACTGTATTTTAAAGTCTATTCTCTGAGCTACAGGGAGCAGGTGAAAGGACTTTAGAATTGGGTGATGTGCTCCATCTTAATGTTTTTAGTGAGAGCGCCAGCAGCAGCGTTCTGGATCAGCTGCAGCTGAAGGATATTTTAGGCAGACCTGTGAAGACAGTGTTGCAGTAATCGATGTGACTAAAGATATACACATTGATTAGTTTTTCTGGATCTTGCTGCAACATTAGTCCTCTAATCCTGGAGAAGAACAGAAATGTTCTTCTGTGAAGGCTTTATCTGCCTTCTCTATCACTTTATTTGTCTCTGAAGGTTCAGGTCAGAGTCCATCACTACTCCCAGGTTTTAGGCCAGACTGCTAGTTTATGGTTGTGATAACTGAAGCTGTGCGTTGACTCTAGATTGTTATTCTTTAGGCTCAAAGATAATGACTTCAGTTTAGTTTGTGTTCAGCTGGAGAAAGTTATGGCACATTCACACACTAATTTGTTCTAAGCATCATCCTGTTTCACAGTTTAAAGGAATCACTGTAATAGTGTGATACTGTCATCAGACAACTAGATCCAGTCCATGAACCAGAGCCTCTGCCAGCAGTCTCACCTGTTTGAGGGCTTCCTGTTTGCTTTTACTAAGGTCCTCGTATTTCAGTTTCCAATGGCTGAGTTCAGTCTCCAGTCTCTCGATGCTCTTACTCAGGGCCAACTTGTCTCTGGGGAAAACAGAAACAAACATTAGCAACACAACATGAAGGGTTATTAGCTGAGTAAAATGTCAACTGCCATCTTTAAAATTTGTTCTCATAATCTGTTTTTCCACATAAAAGAGTCAGTATGGCGCATCCTCCATTAGTCGGATTTTGCAATATTCAGACAAATGCTTATTTGAAACTTCCTTTTTAATGGTTTTGTTTGACAAAGTTTCAGAAACTAAAAATAAATCAATAAATAGGGTGTACACAGGGTGTATGCAAAGATTAAGTCTCAATGGCTGATTTTAGAACCGGCCTAACCTTACTCAACTAAAATCAGATATGACTGGGTTCCTTCTTCCTTTACTACAGTCATATTCAATAAATTAGAAAATACATAATGAAGAGTTCCATATGTGAGATTAAAAGTACCTTTTAAAAATAACAACCTTTAGGCAGGTATGAAACATATACTTTTCATTAAGTTCAGATTTCTGATTTTAAAAAGTGTTTTTTTATTGATATTATGTAATATTCTAATTTTAAATGCCACATTTTCATTGGCTCTTAGCAGAACATCATGATTAAGAGAAATAAAGATATTAAAACATCAGTCTAATTAATTTATATAAACTATACTTAGAGATGAGTTATTGAAATAAATTAACTTTTCAATAATATTCTTATTTACTGAATGAGTCTGTATTTTGTGTCATTTTTAGTATTTAATGAAAAAATCAATCATTCTAAATCACAGTTTTAGTCACTATGACAGTTAAGTTTTTTTTTTATCATTTTCACTGATAATGATAAGGAACTTAAGATGGATTCTCTAAGTGACTGGAGAACTGCTGCTTTACATCACACATTCATATTTTCCATTTGTCACCACAAAACTGAAGATAATCATCATAATAATGATGAAGAAAACAACAGCAGTTAGCTCCCCATAATGTCAGAGGTATCCAATTTAACTTATAACCTGCAATCCAGTGACCTGCAGTGACCCATTCCCCAGTAAGGCTTGCTCCCTCTTACTCTCTCTCTTTCAGCAAGACTTTCTGCGACTCGTCGAGTCTGAGCTGCAGGGCGTTGAGCTTGCTGGAATCTTCCTCCACTGAGCTCATGTCCTCCCACAGCTGTCTGCTCCGTTCCTGCCGGCTCAGACATGATGACGAGCGGGAGCCGGCTGCACTGACACCCCGACTGCTCCAGCTGTCCTGAGCATCAGAACTTGGTGCTCCACAATGCAAGACTGACTCCAGCAGCTCCAAATCCTTACAGAGAGGGAGAGAAATTCACTCCAGGCTAAATGTGAGCTCTGAGCACAAACTCTTAGGATTATCTATCACTGGGAAACAAAGTCACATATTACGTTAAATAACAGAACTCATGAGGAAAGAGCAACTCAACTCAGCACTCTTCAAAAACACATGTGTAACATGCCACATTACAACAGGTGCTTGTTCTATCAGATAAAGCAGATTCAATAAGTAAGATGGATGCTCTTGTTCGTTGATAAATGTGGTCAAGTTTGGCCTTCTTCTTTACCTACTAGAAGCTCATACAATCTTGGTAAAGTACGATAGCTAATTAGAGAGTGACAGATTTTCAGTAATAGCATTAATACAAATACAAATTAGGTCAGAGTCTATAGGAAGAAAAATGAAACATCGTGGGGTCTTAGCTTAGACCATTTCTGCATCTCCACATCATGTCCATCTCCCAGGTAACCAGCTGGTGGCTACAGCAACACACACACATTGCTATCTTCTCAACTGTCAGAAAAGATGGCAGTTGATATTAGAAATGTCCATGTTAAGGACCATACTATCAGAAACACAGCAAACCAGGAGGAAGAAAGGCCTTAAAAATGATTATGAGACAAATTTAAAATGAGAATGGCCAAAACAATGGCTACAAAGATAAATGATTGGAAACCTCAATAGCAGCAGGAAGAATTTAGTTTTCAAAGCAAACTCAGCCCAATTCATATTTTAGTTATTTAGTTATTTGTCAGATGGTTGTGGTGATTTCTTGGATTGTGTTGGAATTAAACAAAATGCTATGAATAGATCTTTAGACCAATCTGAGCTATAGAAATCTGAATTTAAAGGGAAAATATCAGTTTTTTCCCTTGTAAATTGCATTGCGACTATTTTTTATTTTTTTTAAATTGGTGGTGTATAGATAAACTGAATAGAAATTAAATGACTGGTGACGTTGAGGCTAGTAGTCCTCCACCCTGCTGGTTTAGGTTCCAGTACAGACCTTGGTGCCTTTACTTCATCTCTTCCCCAAATCTCTTTTTGCCTTTTTTTTCAGGTAAACAATTCTGGAATCAATATTATGTCTGCATAAATTATAAAGGCAATCTTCCCACCCCTCTGCTAAGTTCACTTCTACATTATCACATTAGCTTAGCTACACAGGCTTAAACAGAAACTTGTTGTTCTACACTGCAGGCACCAGAGGGCCCTAGTGTGAGCCAAACTGTGTTGAACCACATGTGGAAGCACTCTGAGGGACCAATGAAGGGAGGCAGGAAATGAAGCTGAACTGTGTCTGAGCAGCCACACACACACACACACACACACACACACACACACACACACACACACACACACACGTTGTGGGGACTTTCCATTGACTTCCATTCATTTCTACAGCCTAAACCTTACCTTTACCCTTTTCCTAACCCTAACCGTCACATACCTAACCCTAACCAAAACTCAATTCATACCTTAGCCCTAAATCTGACCCCTGACCCAAAAACAGGGTTTCCCCTTGTGGGGAGCAGGCTCCAGTCCCCACAAGGAGCAACTGGTCCGTACAACTTAGTATATGTCAGGAAAATCGTCCCCACAAGGTATTACAAACAAACACGCACACACACACACACACACGTGCACGCAATTATGGTGGACTGGAAGCCCACATGTGAACTCATCTTTTTTTAAACACTGCTCCAACAATCTGATGGTCAGCATGCACAGCCATGTTAAAGTCACTGATTTAAACTCAGAAACTTTTAATATGAAGAATATAACATTCCTCTCTTAGTGTATGTGAGGACACAATACAGCTTATTTTGCACTGACTTCTGTTCATTTTTCATTCATTTCTATGGCCTAGCCCTAAACCCAACCTTTACTAGTACATGGATAACCCTAACCTACACTCAATTAACACAAGGGCTGATCAGATTGCGGTTTTCTGGCCGATCGCTGATTACCAATCTTTAAAAGCCTGACCTGCCAATTCTGATTTTGGCCGATACCAATTTTTTTTGTCTGAAATGTTGCTAAATATAGCAAGAAAGTCGCTGAATTGGCAACAGTGGACTGACTATGGCTAACCGTGATCGTGCAGGACATGACCTGATGTGCTGGTCTGTCAATCAAACCTTTGTCACAGGAAAGTAGAGGACAGTGGTTGATTTTTAGACCTTCGCTGAGGTAGATAAGATCAGAGATGAGATCGACATTATATTCAAGTATTGGTAGATCACCAATCTCTCACAATTAAGGAAATTGGCGCAGATAAATCAATGCAACTCTAAATTACACCTTTGTCCTAAACAAAGGTGTAATTTAACAAAGGTGTAATTTAACCCTAACCCAAAAACAATACTTCTTTTTGCTGGGCCCCGGGACGGGACAGGGATGGGAGGGGCGGGGGGTCTGATCCTCGTGTACTGTGAGGTGTGTCACGACTGATCTGGTCCAGTCGGTATAACGTTGGGACCGCTCCGATCAGCCTGTAAATGTGAAAGGGAATCCCAAGCAGCTGACATTGCGCAACTGAGAGCCTAGTCTTGTGTTTAATGCAGCCAATAGAGCGGCTGCTCACACCGTCATAGCCTTTTCTTTTTGTTAC